CATTCCAATTTGTTTTGTTTCTGATTCCTGAATGATGGAATTTTTTTTTTTTTTTTTTTTTTTTTTTTTGTACCGAGGATCAAACAGGACCTTGCACTTTCAAGGCAGGCATTTATTCTGCTAAACTATATACCCGGTCCTGAATCTGTCTTTCTCTACAGTACCCTGGGAGTCCCCTGAGATTGCCTCTACAGCTTCTTCCTCCAAGCTCTGGCCCACAGGCCCGCCGTCTGCGTGGGTTCAGTCAGCCCAAAGACAACGAACAGCCGCAGCTGGTTTCACAAAGAGGGGCGGTCCTAGTTCTGCGCTCTGCGAGCCCGGCGTTCGAGCTCCGGTCAGATCACTTCCTTTCCTCCTCATTACTCTTTATCCGCCGGCCAGTAAATTGGCCAAAAAAGGCCCCCACAGGCCACCGTATCGGAAGTCCGCGGCGACTGGTGAAAGCATCGAAGTTGGCAGGAGTGGACTGAAGAGCGCTTGGGCCGAAAGTGCAGAGGCGGAGCTTAAAGGCGAATTGGGCACTGAGACTGGACAGAGCCCAGGGAGGCAGGGCCTACAGTGGAGTGGGCGGGGATTGGGTTGAGGGCGGTGCCGGCGCGAGTATTGGGCCGCGCACTTCGGGGCGGGGCTTGAGGGGGCGGGGCCGTGTCGCAAGTCAAAGGTCGGTAAATAGTGGTGATGTCATGCGGGCAAGATGGCGGAAGGGTGAGCCTGTGGTTCTGCTCCCCGGAGTTGGGGCCTGAATCCTCCCAGGGGTCAGGAGCTGGGCCAGGGTCCCCAGGCAGACAGGAAGTCAGTGCGGGCGTGGACGGAGCTGAAAGGGCAGAGTGGAGTTGCGGTGTGAGGGGGTCGGGAAGCGGCCTGCGAAACCTCCGCCCGCGGGCCACCTCCGAGGGGGAAATTGAGAGCTGGCCATTGGGCGGGCTGGAGTCGCACCCCAGGGCCGCCAGATGTGTCTGTCTTCCACAGGGAGGACATGGGATGGTGGCGGAGCTGGCTGCAACAGAGCTACCAGGCAGTCAAAGAGAAGGTAAGCCAGGCCAGCGCCCTCTTCCCGCGGCCGGCCCCCGACGCCTCCTTGCAACCTGGTGCAACCTGCCTTTCCCGGCCTTTGCGTGTCCCGGGCCTCCCTGTGGCCGCCCTGGGCCCTACTTACAGCCCTTTCTGGTCTAGGGGTTCCTACGCAGGCCAGCGTAACAGTAACCACAGTGAAATAACGATTGTTTTAAAAGCGGGAACGACCCTTTCCTAGGAATGCATAGGAAGGAGCAATTCCAGCTTGGAAGGTTGACAGCTTCCTTGTGAAAGAAAGAACGCTTGGCTGGACATGGTGGCGCACACCCGTAGTCCCTGCACTCTGGAGGCTGGGGCAGGAGGAAGATCACCGTGAGTTCAAGGCCACCTGGACTATCTAGTGAGTTCAAGGCCAGCCTGCATTACATAGTGAGAACCTTTCTCAGAGTAACTCCCAACAGAATAAAAGAACATTTGATACAGACTCTAAAGAAGGATTGTAGCAATTTTTAAAAACTTACTCTGATAGTCATTCAGACATTAGAATACATATATGCCACCACCAGCACACTGTTAACAGATCCTGAAGATACAGGAACTTCAGTGGTGGCCAACCTATGGCACACATGCAACATTGGGCTGGTTGTACCATTGAAAGCTCTAAAATGTTTGCCATCACTGCTAGGCCAAACAGACATAGTTCTGGGCCTCAAAGCTCACAGTCTGATGGGGAGACCAAATAGTCAAACAGCTGTGTGACTACATTTATGGTAAATGCTGTAATGTGAAAGCATTACTGAGTACCTCCTCTAGTCTGGTAGTGAAGAACATGCTAAAGAAAGTATTGTGGGGATGGAATCCCATTGAGGCCAATCCCTGCTTAGGCAGGTTGAACAGGAAAGACCCAGGTCAGAAGTAAACATGCGCCATGCACACTGGGGCCTGATGAATTCTAAGTGAGGGGTATATGGAGAGAAGAGATTAATGATCAGAGAGTGGAGGACCTTGAATAGCTAGCAAAACAATCCCTATTGGATGAATGATGCTTGGCCTTGCCAAGTAATTGTGGAAAAACTAATTATTATTTACTCTCCTGGGGAGAGTCTTGCTTCAGGGCAGACTCCAGGAGGCTTCTGACCTGGTGAAGTCAGCCCCCCTCCTCTGGAAGCACTCTTTTCCCCTCAGACTGTGTACTTCTAAGCAGCCTCTCAATTACAGGCCAGTAAATCTTAAGAGTATCCTGAGTCATTTGTGGTGTTGGTGAACACTAAGAGAACTAAGAGTGTGACATGCCCTCAGCAAGTGTCACATGAGGCCACCTCCGTGTTTCTCTCAAGGTTGGGATTTACCATAACACATGAGAAATAGGTACTTGGTCAACTTTCCATCTTTGTTCTTGGGGAAGACCCAGTTTGAATTATGGGGGCTTGTGGGGGAATTGATGGGTGTTTCTCTCCTTTTAGAAAGAGGCTTTCTTCTCTTTGCTGATTATGGTTATATAAACACAGGCAAGTGCTTCTCTAGACCTCCATTTCCCTACTGTAGCATGAAAATAATAATATCTACTTGTAGGGGTTGTCATGAGGATAAGATGATAATATAGAGATGAAGAACATTAAGTATTCTATAAGTTAGCTATTTTCATTACCCGCTTAGGGTGATGGAGCAGCTTTTAGGCACTGTCACCAGTCTGTTTGCCCTCTTGTTTTCTTCTTGGTCTTCTGGTACTTTTCTCTCCTTGCATCCCGTCCTGGCCCTATCTGAACCACTCAGTTCCTTACTCAACAAATTTAGAACCAACAACTCAGATGGTGCTGTAATCCATCTAACTCTCCTTTTGCGTCCCCCTGTGTGCACATGAGTGCTTGTATATACACACTGATCGAGATGGGCACACGTTCTATTTTGTTTGGTTTTTTGGTACTAGGAATCAGGACCTTGTGCTTTCCAGCAGGTATTTATGCTGTTGATCTATATCCCTAGTCCCAACGGTATCTGTTCTTTGGCTACACTGTAAATTTCCCACCCTCATCTGGGCCTGACTTCTTCCCAGCATCCCTTTTCAGTCTAATTTGCTTCTTCTCCCCTTGACTTCAGTTGTTCATTTCCAGCAGACAACCTCACATGAAATTTGAAGCCAGTAAGCATGATCTTATTTAGTTCCTCCCTCCCCCCCAAAGCCACTACCTATATCCTTATCTGCAGTCACATTCTGCTACACTTAGCACATGGCACATCCAGTGGGTATTTTCAGCATTTATCTTTGTGGACCTTTCTGCTATGATTGACACTATTGAGTATTTCCTTTTTCTTGAAACTCTTTTGCCTTCTATGACTTGATACCCTCTCAGTTCTCCACATACTTCTCCTTACTTTCTTTTTTTTTTTTTTTTTTTTTTTTTTTTTGGAACCAGGGATTGAATTCAGACCCTTGTGCTTGCCAGGAAAGCACTTATTCCACTAAGCCATTTCCCTGGCCCCTATCCTTACTTTCTTAACTGCTCATGAGTTCTCCTGTTGCCTGCTCCTTTTCAAAATAGTGTTTGGGGCCAGGGAGATGGTTCAGTGGAATAAGCGCTTCCCTGGCAAGCGCAAGGGCCTGAGTTCAATCCCCAGTTCCAAAAAAAAAAAAAAAAAGAAAGAAAGAAAAAATAGTGTTTGGAGGTCCTCTCAGCACACACTTCTCTCTCTTCAAAATCTTCTTGGGTAGAAAAAAAAAAAAATCTTGGTTGATTTCATTCTCTTCAAGTTAAGGTGATATCTAGTTCTCCCTGAGCTTTGGTGTTTGAGGCTAGTTCCTTATGGTCAGCTATTGCAGAACACCCGTGATCACCTCAGATTTTCATGCCCAAAGTCATTATCACAATCTTACCTGCAAACCTACTCCTCCTTCAGTAGTCTGTCATTTAGCTGCGCCTATCCAGTCACTTTAGTAGCCTGTGGCTCTTCCACAGTCCTTTTCCTGCCCTTAGGCAGTATATCTACAGATCAGCCTTTTTTTACCTAGTTCTTCTTCAGTTGATCCCATCCTTTCATTTTTACCAGTCTTTCACTCTTAAAATTTTGTCACCCTTGTACCTATCCTTCAAGCTGGTTCCTGGAATGACTTATAAAAGTAAAAATTCCGTAGGGGCTTCTCTACGTTGACGTAGTAGCTAGTATAACGGTGAATTCCAAAGATGCCGCCCAAAGGAAAAAGTGGTTCTGGAAAAGGGGGGAAAGGGGGAGCAGCCTCAGGGAGTGGTAGTGCTGACAAGAAGTCTCAGGGCCCCAAAGGTGGTGGAAATGCAGTAAAGGTCCGACACATTCTGTGTGAAAAACACCAAGATTCTGGAAGCCATGGAAAAGTTAAAGTCTGGGGTGAGATTCAGTGAAGTGGCTGCACAGTATAGTGAAGATAGAGCCAGGCAAAGGGGTGACTTGGCTTGGATGACCAGGGCTCCATGGTAGGACCATTTCAAGAAGCAGCATTTGCCTTGCCTGTGAGTGGAATGGATAAACCTGTGTTTACAGACCCACCAAGTAAGACAAAGTTTGGATATCATATTATTATGGTTGAAGGGAGAAAAAATTATGTGAAACATTTTTAAAAAGTAAAAATTCCACCTGCTTTAAACCTTCGATGGCTTCTCATAGTAGTTGCCCTTGGTAACTTCTCCAGCTGTATTGCTTGCCATTTCTGCTTTGTGTTTCATGTTTGTCAGCACTAAAGTGCTTGTAGCCTTCAGGAAACCTCAAGACTTCTTTAGCAAATTGTTTATTCTTCAGGGCTGAATCCAAGCTTCTCTTCCCCGAATCATCTCAACTCTGTGATATTCCATTATTGCTTTGCACTTGCACATCAGCCAGTATGTATGTGAGCATTTACTCCATTAGACTGTGGCCTTCTTGAGGGCAAAAACCGTAGCTGTTCATCTTTGTGCACTCAGTGCTTAGAATCTTTTTTTTTTTTTTTTTAATCTTTTTCAATCAGTGTCACTATGCAGTGCAGGCTGGCCTTGAACTCACTTTGTAACCTATGCTGTTCTCCAGCTCACAACAATCCTCCTGCCTCAGCCTCTCCAGTCCTAGTATTCCAGGGGCATAGCACTTAGAATCTAGTGGGGAAGATAACCATTCATTAAATAGTTGTGTAGGTGGTTATATAATTAAAATTGCCCTGAAGCATGTATGTTATGTGTCAGACACCAGGAAATCATCAGTGAAGAAAAATACATGGGCTCTCTTTTCATGGAACTCATAGTTTCCCTAGGAGGACTGATAACTGGTGAGTAATGCAGAGCCTAAAGCATGACAAATGTGAAAGAACAGGTAGACCCAGACAAATTCCCTATGGATATGACTGACATGAAAGCATAATCCTGAAGGATGAACACGAGTTAACCAGCTGAAAGGTGATTCAGTGACCTAGGTTGCTTATTTCCTCTGTGGATGTGAAGTATCTTCAGGGAGAGAGAGAAGGTATTGCAACTACCTGAGGTAGGGAAGATGCTAGGACATGTGAGACACTTGAGAAAGGCCAGCCAGAGCTCAGTAAAGGTGTGTTATGGCAGGAATACAGGTTTACCAGAAGCTGGATTTTACAAGCCTTATAAAAAGGTAGTTTATACTTGCTCTTCGGGCAGTGGGTAAACACTGAAGAACGCAAAGCAGGGGCAGTTTGGTCGGCCTTGACCAACAGAGTGCCCACTGTATGCCACAAAGAAACTATAGCAAGGGTGTCTGCTACCTTCCATCTGGGAGGAGTCCAGATGGAAGAGCAGGTTGGCTGAATTAAGGTGGTAGGAATGCACATGGACAGAATGGGGCTTTATGTCTGAGACCATGTAATTAACGGGCTGGGGAGATAGTTTGGTGATCTAAGCACCAGCCTGGCAAGTGCAAGGACCTGGGTTCAATCCTCAGTACCGCATGCCATGCCAGCCCCATGCTGTGCCAGCCCCTTAAACTGGGCATGGTGGTGCATACCAGTGCTGGGGAGGCTGAGATAGGAGGATCACTGAGTCCGAGCTGCATAGTAAAATCCTGTACCAAATAAATAAATAATACAAATTTTTAATTGGGGAGATAGCTCAGTGTCTTAAGCACCTGCCTGCCTGGCACGTATAAAGTCCTGAGTTTGATCCCTGGTACTGCAAATAAATAAATACATAAATGTTAAATTTTCCCTCCACTCCACGTTCATGGTTCCAGAATCTGATGTGGAAGCATGATTCTTATCCTCCTCCCCTAAGAAGCCTCTAACTTATACATGAAATTGTTCCACTCACAGACTTTCTGAGCTAATGAAAGTAGAAAACCCACCAGACAGTCAAATATGTGCTTTAAACATTCCAATGATTGGGCTGGTGAGATGGCTCAGTGGTCTAAAGCACCTACTTAGAACAAGCTTAGCAAAGCACAGGGACCGCGGTTCAATCCCCCAGCACCACATGCCAGCCAGCCCTGCCCCCTGGTGGGCTGAGCTGGCCACACACACACACACACACACACACACACACACAAATAAAAATTAAAAAGTTCCAATGATTGATTTCTGGTGTGGTAAAAGAGTTTGTAGGATGGGGCGAGTACAAAGATGGTCCAGGATGGGGCGAGTACAAAGATGGTCCAGGAGGCCATCCTAGAGATGGTGAGTAGGCTGCCAGCAAGGCAGAATATAGAAGGCTGTGAGGGCCTGTAGCCAACAGTTGGTTCTTACCACAAGCTAGGAAACAGGTTGGTGCAACAGAAGCAAATACCAGTTCTGTGATTTGGTCAGTTGGTTTTGGTCTGGTTGGTTTTGTTTTTACTGTTTGTTGTTGTTTGTTTGTTTGTTTTTAATCTCACTGTGTAGTATAGACTGGTCTTTTGTGTGTGTGTGTGTGTGTGTGTGTGTGTGTGTGTGTGTGTGTGTGGTACCGTAGACTGGTCTTGAATTTACTGTGTAGCCTGTCTGGCCTGGAACTCCTGGTGATGTGCCTGCCTCAGCCTCCTGATAGTTGGAATTACAGGTGTGCGTCACCACACCTGCCATTGTAAAGTTAGTTGAAATTTGAATCAAGTAGGATTTAAAGTAATCAAGCAACTCATAAAGCCTGCTTTGTTTTCTAGCTCTAAATGTCCCTTTCCACAGAGTGCTCTTGAAAATCACTAATGTAGTCCACCTCCCACCTTTTATGTGAAAACTAAGTGCTAGATGAGACTCACTCATGGCCACATAGCTGTGAGTGTCTGAGCTGAAGGGCCAAATTCCTCTGTGCTTGCTGCTGTCTGGGAATCCCATTTTGTGAAGTTGGGACCCTAAACACCGTGGCCAAGCCTGGGCCTCTGTGTCTCCTGGGAACTGTGTCTGTGATACTGAAGAACATGGGACACACTGGCTCTACTACCCTTCTTCATCTTCCCACAGTCCTCTGAGGCTTTGGAGTTCATGAAACGGGACCTGGCAGAGTTCACCCAAGTGGTACAGCATGACACTGCCTGCACCATCGCAGCCACAGCCAGTGTGGTCAAGGAGAAGCTGACCGTGAGTATCTGCCCACACTTCCGCCGGCCACCTCTCAGCCTGCCCTGTCCTGGGACCTGGGAGGACTCCTACCCTGTCTAGTGACTCTGGCCAAAAATGGTGATTGTTTTTTCCTCACATTTTATATTTTATTTTGTTTTTTGCAGAACTGGGGGTTGAACTCAGGCCCTTATGCTTGCTAGGCAAGCGCTTATTCTACTGAGCCATCTCTCTGGCCCCCTTCAATTTTTTTTTTTCCCCTCACATTTTAGAGGAACTCTGTTAAGTGTACACACAGAGACAGACACACATGTTAAGTATTGATTGGCTTTCCTGCTTTTGTATTATTTTAGAAAATGTTTTCCAGTAGCAAAGTCATTCATTGTAGAAAATTTAGAAAATACTCTTAAGCAAAAGAAAAGAGAAAGAGGGTAAGACTGACTTAGACCCATCCATAATTCTACGTCCTGGAGATGACTGTGGTTGGGGATATAGCTCTCTATACCCTTTCTTCTTTAAAAGTGAGGTGGTGGGCATGGTGGTGCATGCTTATAATCCCAGCACTTGGGATTACAGTGAGGCAGGAGGATTGCTGAGTTTGAGGCCAGTCTGGGCTACAAAGTGAGTTCAGAGCCAGCTTAAACTGCATAGTGAAACTGCCTGTAAAAAAGAAAAACTGCCATGCCGATTCTGTCCCTGGGGTGGGCGCGCTGAGCCAGTGATTGAGACTGGGCGTGGTGGCCTGCACCTATAATCCCAGCACAGGTGAATCACTACGAGTCCAATCTATGTAGTGAAACCCTGTAGACCTTGTACTAAATACATTAAAAAATAATAAAAAAGATGAAAAGTAGAATGAACTGAAAACTTCTTTAACCCATTTTTTACCTTAATCATTGCAAACTTCACTCTGCAAATGACGTTAAAGTGGTGTCAATTTTATTACGTGGATTAAACTAGTTCCTACTTCCCTGTTTCAGTTTTTCTAGTATTACATACACAGCTGCAGTCAGCATTCTCTTTGCTAAATATTTACCCATTGCCTCTTTGTCTTTTTGTTTTGTTTTATGGCAAGGTCTTACTCTTACAGCTTTCTCCAGACTGATCTTGAACTTTTTTTTTTTTAATTTATTTATTTAGGGG